AGGAAGTGGAGTAGGCGACGATAAGGGAAAGGGTGGTGGTGGAGTAAAAAATCCAAAGTCAAGATCTAGAGGCTGCTCTAGAGTCAAGAAATATGGAACAACTTCACTAAAAATGATATCAGCACTAGTGAAGTATCGACGAAGAGTGGGACTATAGCAACGATACCCCTTTTGTGTGCGAGAGTATCCAAGAAAGACACACTTAGTAGTATGAGGGTCAAGTTTATCAAAGTCAGGCCCCAAGTTATGAACATAACAAACATACTTAAAAACTTTAGGAGGTAGGGAGAATAAGGGAGTATGGGGTACAATAACAGAATATGGACTTTATCCATTTTATAAAAAAGACGACATGTGGTTAATGAGGTGACATGCTGTAAAGACAGCATCACTCCAAAAAACACGAGGTACATGCATGTGGAATAATAATGCATGAGTAACTTCTAACAAATGTTGGTTCTTACGTTCAGCAACATCATTCTACTGAGAGGTATAGGCACATGATGTATGATGAATAATGTCAATTTTACGAAGATAAGATGAAGAAGGATCAGATTAATATTCTCTAGCATTATCAAAACATATAACACAAATACGACAACCATATTGGGTTTTTACTTCTTTACAAAATGTCTCAAATATAGAGAATAATTCAGAATGGGCTTTCATAAGAAATAACTAAGTCACACGAGAATAATCATCCACAAAAGACCCAAAATAAAAAAATTTATTAGATGAAATATTCTTTATTAGACCCCATACATCAGAGTGGACTAATTCAAATGGACTAGATACACAATTATTGACTCTAGATTCAAAGAAACATGATGATGCTTACGAAATTGACAAGCTTCACAAGGCACAGATGACACATGACTAAGACTAGAAACTGGTGCTTCAGATTCTAGAAAGAATGATGACCAAGACGAAAGTGCCATTGGAAGGGAGATGACGAGGTTTGCATGGCTCGAGGAGGTGTATCAAAGTCAAAATAATAGAGACCACCAGTTTCATGCCCCGTACCAATCTTCCTCTTCATCTGGAGATCCTAAAAAACACAATATGAAGAGTAAAAAGTTACTGAACAATTAAGAGAGCGGGTAATTTTCCTAATAGACAGCAAGCTAAAGGAAAACTAGGGAACAAATAAAACAAATGATAAAGACATATCAGTACTCAATTGAGTGGTCCCTAAACCTGAAACTTTAGAGGAAGTACCACTAGCAAGAGTAACATTGTATGGGAAATTAACAGATTGATAAGTAGAAAAGACACCACACAAACCAATCATGTGATTAAAGGCGCCAGAGTCTATGATCTATGAACTACAAGTGGAGGACAATAAACAAGTGGAAGCGGTGCCTGACTAAGCAAAAGTGGCAGTGAAGGAAGATAAAACAACCTGTTGTTGAGACAGAAACTGAGCATACTCCTCACGTGTAAGAGTAACAGACCTAGAATCTGGTGGAGCCAACTATGGTAGGGTGGAAGTGTCATCCTGATAGGAGACTTGATTAACAGTGCCTGAAGGCTGGTCATATAAATCCCAACAATAATCAACAATGTGACCTCCACGACCACAATGAATGTACAAACAAGAACCGTGCCGACCACCATGACCTTCAGTATGGCCTCTAGTGCGATTGCCCCAACCCCCACGACCACCACAGCTACCACGGCTACCTCGAGGGCTATCACTATGGCCATTGGGAACAATGAGAGCTAAGCGGTCAAGAGGTAAGCTGCAGTCAATGCTAGAAGGGCCAGTAGACTATGTAGCATGTTGTAAACAGGAGAAAACCTTAAGTAGAGATGGTAGGCTAGAACTACCCAAAATCTAAGAGCGAATAGACTCATATTCAAGTTTCAAACCCATCAAAAAATGAACAACATTCATATCCTCATATTATTTCTGTCAAACTGTTGCATCAATAGCGAAAATGTGGTAGAACTTCAATTCCTCACAAACTTCCTTAAAATGAGAATAATAATATGCAAGACTCAGATTTCCTTGGTCTAGACGAAAATGTTGTTGACATACCTCATATGCACAAGTAAAATTACCTTTGCCTGAATACATAATAGTCAAGTGATTCCAAATTCTTTGGTCGTGTCAAGATAAAATAAAGTGAAACAAATACTAGCCTCAATACTATTCAATAATAATAAAATAATTTGAGCATCTGTCTGTTCCTACTGATCATACCCAAGAGTGTCTTCCTTGGGTTCAGGAGCCACTAAATATTTCAAAAAACCGTTACATTTAAGAAATACTTGAATAGATCATGATCACAGAATATAATTGGTCTCATTAAGCTTAACAGTGGTCATGGAACCGTTAAGGAGATCAGTAGGAGACAAACTTGGTGGCAAAGAAGAAGTAACGGCAAATGGATCATCATTCTTGGGTTCCATAGTCATATGACAGAAAGAATATAGTTCAAGAGAGAAATGGAACTCACAACTAGCCACCCAAGTGTGATTTGAATCCAAACAAATCTCAGAACTAGCCCAAAGTCACTTAAAGAACGTAAAACAGATCTAAAACATGCTGAACAGGAACCAAACCATGCGAAACAGACCTGAACAGACCTAAGGTAGGCTGAACCAGAGATGAACTGGCTGAGGGAGGGCTGGACAGTGCTGAACTGGAAGTGAACTAGCTGATGCAAGCTTGGACAGTGTTGTACCAGAAGTGAACCGACTGCTGCAAGCCTAAACAGGACTGAACCAGGTGTACTTGCGTCTGAACCATGATGAATCAGGCTCAGTCGTGCTTGAACAGGAGGTGAACGTTGTAAAACTAACCTGAATCGACCTAAGATTGGCTAAACCGGCGCTAAACTGTGCTAAACCAGCATTGAACCGTGCTAATCCGAGTTGAATCAGACCTGAACCATGATGAACCGGTCTGGATAGTGATGAACCAAACTAAGTAGGTTGGGCTGGATTGAACTCAGGCCAACAGACTGGGTTGAACTTGGGTTGTTGGACTTTAGAATTAATTTAAGCACGCAACCATGAAAGATCTGATGTGACACACATTATTCATCTTCTTCACAGTTAGGGTTCCAACGAAACCCTCACCTCCAACAGTGTATCCCACAGTGGCACAACCTAGCGCCGATGACCACAACTACCTGCGATGACAACCATAACCACTTCGGTAGCAACCAACGACGACCACAACAAAATTACTTTCACGTCACACACAGATGACAACAAATATCGCTGATGACAAATATCAACGACAACGAACAGCAAACAACACCACCACCACAATACAACCAGTCAAACGATCACAAACCACAACAACGACCACGAATAGCAAGCAACACCACCACCACAATACAACCTGTCAAGCGATCGTCGACCACTTACACCATTGATTTCCAACAGAAACTAAAACTTGAGGAATACACAATTTCAGTGCAAACCCATCCAATATACTGGTAGAACCATATAAGTGATCTCACACACATAGTAAAAACGTAGAAGAAAAAAAAAAGGAAAAAGAAGAATAGTAACGAAATGAAAAAAAGAAGGGAAGAAAAGGTGATTAATAAGAAATTAGACCTAATTACTTTGATACCATGTTATGTTTAGAGAAAAGGCATTTTAAGTTTAGAAAAAAGGCAAGCTTAACACAACATGGGAGAGGCAAAGAGAAATTTTGTCTTACCCTACTTCTCACTATTAATCTTGTATTTATAGTTACTGAACAAAGACGCAAAAAATAAGTATACCCTTTGGATGGTATACATATTACAATAAATATAAACCCTAATTATATTATAATAGTTTTCTCAACAAAACTTATACCAAATCGCTGAACTGAAACAAAGAATATTGTGTAAAGGCTCCTGAAGCCCCGTTTTGATGCCATGAAGAAAAATAAACAAATTTTTTTTCATTGAATCGCAGGCCAATACATTATAACACTTATGGGTCTAGATAGTTAAACTAATGACATAAAAAAAGAGATAGATCATCAATTGCATAATTCAAGACAATAATCATTTTCATATCTTCCTATTTTCCACATGATCGTTCATTTGATTTCTCTAATCACACTTTCAACCACTCTAATTTATATTCCCCGATACTCTCCCATCAAACTTATGGAGATTGTAAAAAATATATCTATGAGTGTGCATTGAGACAGATGCTTCATTCATGGCCCATTTTTGAGTCTGCAGCAATTATAGATTGCATTCAACTCAATTCATGTTACATAATCATCATGGGTTTGAAGAGAGAATTGTGTTCAAAGAAAAAATATTACTATCAAATAAATATTGATAAGAACAAATCTAGATTCTTATATTAGAAGACAAACATTTTAGTTGGATGGCAACCTAGTTGAAGAGTGGAAGCAATGACAAACCAATATTACCTGAATCGTAGGTCGTTTTGGTACGTGTACGTAATATGATATTTTGTTAAATACGTAATACGATGGAGATAGACTTAACTAATATGATATTTTGAATCGCAAGTCGTTTTGAAACTCTTATCTAAGTAGTTCATTACTATACAACATTCTATATTGTAGAACATATTAAACATTAAGTCAATTAACATTTATCTTACATTTGTGCTCAATATTCTATTATCTAAAATAATATATAATTACAAATATATATACACGTAGTCAATTTATATATATTTTATATCATGTTACATGTTCCAATGTGAATTGATTTAGGATTAAGATAATTTGGGGTTGCATATTTTAGTGATCTGAATCGTGAATTTATCCCGTTTGAGATCAATGTACCCAAATCATTGATTGTCAAGGGTTTAGTAAATTTCGATAACTATGTGGTGAGTCTAATCCAGGCATGGACCAACAGGCTACGATTCTATGTTAAAGAATTCAACCCAAAATTTATTGACAATGAGTGAGAACCGCACTAAGCTCATATACTAGTTTGAGAGGATCTATTATCACGATGTGAGACAAGCGCTAAGAAGAGGCACATGGGAAGTGTATTAGCTTAGCAATGCATCAATACTCCTGCATCAACGTTTTAGAAATTGAAAAATCTGAAACCTAGATACCAGCCCATTCCCCAGAGCTCAAAAGCATACCAGGCTCTATGAAACTTAGCCGCTTCTCAATTTTTGAATTGAAGACCCCACTCTATCCCTCACAGCCCAAAAAAAAATATTTCTATGTTCATTAAGCCCCCCCCCAAAAAAAAAAAAAAAA